TTACTCCTAAATACACAATTTAAGTCAAACTGCTCCTCTCCATAAAAATACAAAAGCCACAAAAATCAAGGTAAACATTCTGTCCTCAAAACAGATCATATTCTGCCAGAAGTTCATAGCAAACAAAATTTAACTCTGTCTCAATCACTCAGTGCCTCCTAAATTATATTGCTAAATAAGAGACTTTAGCCAACAATGATTAGTCCATTATACTTACAAGTGATTTAATTCTTTATCCAAAACTTTACATTTAAATAACACCAAGTAAAGATAAATTTGTAAATTTATTTCACTTCTTATGAATTGGTTTGACTATTTCCCCATGGCTTTTATTCCTTTTGAAATATATTGAATATGTTAGCATTAAAAGCAATAACTGCATTCGTTTTATAGAAGAGACATTCCAATCCTTAATGAAGTTAGAGGCACAATTCTAAAATACACTCACAAAAGGACAAAAATTCAATAACTTTAACTATCTAACTATATTAATATATAGTTAAAACAGAACCAAGGGAAAAGACATTTACAGAGGTTTTACATGTTTATTCATTAAATGATTACATGTCTTCCTGTAGACACTTCCTGAAGTGTCTTTGTAGGTGCCTACTTTACCCACATGTTAAATCTCTTCTAGAAGACACTCCACAAACAGGCAATATGTGACTCAAGTTTCTAAGTTATCTGAAGAACCTAACTTTTTGTTCCTCTTTACTCTTGTATGGTTTACATCAACAAACTGCGTAGAACACATCAACTGCAAACTCAGGTTCTAAACACACCTTACAGATCTTATCATAAAATACCTCCAGCGTACTATAAAGTAGCCATGATTTTTCTCTGTTTTCTTTTTATTTAATGAGTAATCAGAGCTTTGAATAAAACAAAAGTTACTTCTTTGCATTTCCCTTCAGAATCTGTTGTTTTATTAATGCTAAATTGCAATTTTTTCAATTGTTAATTTCACTTGACTTTCCAAATGCAGTCTACTGTTTTCTCAGACAAAATAGAATCTGGCTATAAATTCTTAGGACTCTTTGGGGAGTCAGTAGGAATGTTACAGCACCCCACTGATAGGATATTTCCTGTAAATAAATTAAAGGAAGAAAAGGGCTATCCTGAAAATGGCATTTATTTAAAATAGCCTGTAAAATAGCTAATCCTGAGACTTTGGTAGGTATTTGATGCCTATGATGGGTAAAGGAAATATTTTTAAACAAAATACAAATTATCTTCCTAATAACTACTGTCTATAAAAAAAGACATAATTCCAAAATAATAGAGAACATATTCAAAGCATTATGTCTAGGTCTTTTAAAAGATTATTCTTGAAAACAATGCCAAAAAGTTAAGACATTATTCAGTACATATGCTGTAAGATAACTTTCTAAATACTGTTATTATTTAAAATAATGATTGTATTAAATTTTACTCCATCCTGGGCATCTGTTTTAACTTTTGAGATGCTTTCTAAAATGCTAACTAAAAATGTGAATGGTGCATCAGTCAATTTGAAACTTTTTTCAATAATTCATTATATTTTCTTTTTAATATACTTTTTTTTTTACATTTAGTCTGAATGCAATCCAGAGTTTAAAAGAAATAATCTTTATTTTCAAACAAGTATAATCTTATTTTCAAACAAGTATACTCACTCTGGCCTGATATAAGTATGTGCTTTGAAAGCTTTCTGTTCTCTGTCACTGTTTCCGCAGAGTTGAATCAGTGAAGAATGGAGTAGCTATTCTTTGGTTGGAAACAGTATTTCATTGACAAACAAAATAAGGAAAAATGAATCTGTCTTATGAAAAGGATAACGGGCTTTTTAACAGTATATCTTGATTGAGCAGTTGTGTACTTTTCTAGACTTAGAGAGAACAACTGTAGTTTATGAGACACTAGCAGAAAATAAAAAGTGCTCTTTCATGTTATCAAAAGATGTATATTCAAAACATCTTGGAACGAGTTTTCAAGAAAAGCAACATAAATGAGCATGGTGTTTACATGGTTCAAAATCTCTCAGCAAATTTCAACTAATTAATAACTAATATTTGCAGCTATCACAAGCAAGCATCTGTGTTGTGAAAAGTCCTTGGGGTCCTTTTCACCTTAGCTCAGACTTGGAAGAAATTCATTGTATAAGCAAGTATCAAGTAATGTGGCCCTCTGGTGGAAGACTAAGCATCACATTCTGCAACCGGTGCTACACAGTAAACTAGAAGCTATAAAACATTTGTTACAAAGCTTCACAGAACCTCCGAGAAAACCACCCTGTGAACTTAATTAACAGCCCGACACCTGAAGGGCAGCCTGGTGCTGGTATGACGTAACTGGCAGGAAAACGCTACCTTTCCTCAGACTTCAATCATGTTCCAAATAACAAGCAATTCTCAGCATCCTTCAGCTAAGACAACGCGCTTAGTTTACTCTGAACACATCTTGCATTTCCAGGAAACAGGCGTACGTGTTGCAAGCGCCCACGGAGGGAAACACAACTTACCTGCTGTTGTTGCAGGTGCAGCAGCTCCACTGTGCTTACTTCAGAGCTCGTGTCACCACTTGATCTTCCATCTCTGCTGCCAGCATCTAATTGGCTGCTTAGAGTGCTCATTCCATTTTGATTCATTGAACTGTTGGTTATTGTCTCTGTCGCAGACTCCTGCATCATGACTTAATACCTAAAAGTGATTAAGAAGTATCAATTAACACACGTTACACCTTCACACTTCCCTTATCAAGATGTCCCTCTCTGCCAATTACAGAGACAGCATCTTCAGAAGGAAAAAAAAAAAAAAAGCCTTGAATAGTCATTTACCAAGAAAAGCAATACAAATGCAGCTTTCATCCAGATACTAATCACTGAAATGATGGTTTCTATAAGCAGGTTTTTTTGTGTGTGGTTACATTTAACAGCCAAAGTAACATGCCATGCATAGAGCATGGTCAATAGCATTTAAGAACGGCCACGTTTTCAAGTCTACCTATAAAACCAGTTTAAATGAAGGCATGATTGCACACTCTGTTCTATGTTTCCTATTATCTACCTTTGACAACCATGGATGACTATACAGCCTTATTTTAAATATTCACTATCTTGATTCTGTCAGAATTTTACAGCACATCTTATGCAAGGCTGTTGTTTAATGATGCACAGCTAATCATACAAAATTAAAATTTTGTAAGGGTGTTACAAATCATATGGTATCAACCCATGATAAATAGTATAATGGGTTTCTTTTTTTGTGACTAAATAAAATTTTGCCTTGGAGGCATTTTAAGAAAAAGCTCCTGCTGCAAACACGTCAGATATTGCCTATTTTTTTAATCAAACAGCTCATATTCATTTATTTTTCTGACATTTAAAACATTTAATACTGTCCTTCCTGGGAAGTAATTAAGCTTATGCATGAGCAGTAATCAAGCTGTTCACTTGAAGATGACTTAAAACTCAATTTTAACATAGGCAAATAAATGAAAGATATAAAATTAATTTTCCAGGCATGTATTAGATATGAAAGCTGGAAATAAAATCTATCAAGAATATCACTAATGATTGTGCTAAAAACAGCATAAATTATGCATATTACCTTCTCTACAGTAATAAATGTTTTATCGTTTTCACTGCATAAATATACTGTACTTTCAGGACGGCAGTGAGATGTCCTGCCAAGATCAGTGGAAATCCTGGCAGTAAATAAAGAACCGATGTGCTCTTACAAACCAGAATTTCACAGAACATCTTGAGTCTGTGCTTGAGAACGGTCAGCCTGGGCTCTTAAAGAAATCCGGATCCCGTGCCCTGAGCCAGTGGATCCACTTCCCTCGTGTACTTCTGCGGACAGAAACTCAGGAGCAGCCTGGCTGCTCTGTGGCTTCAGCAGCGATGGCAGGCGGAGCAGCGAGCCAACGTGAGGAAGGTTGAGACTCAGCACTCAGGCTGCTTTGTATCACTACATGATTTCACGAGTTTAAACTTGGTCATATTTTAAGACTTTTTTCCATTTGAAAGTTTTAAATGCATTTATTGTAAAGCAAATGTAAGCATACTATCTCTTCGTGTCCCCAGATGCTTACAAAATGTGATCATGGACATTCATACAGACACAGAGAGAGACATATCCAACAGAGATTTTTTGCATACTAACATTATAATTATTAAAATTAATGGTTATTATGTAATAGTTTTAACAAGTATTTTCATCAAGCCTAAATTGTTAGATTATTTCTATGACTTAAAAAAATCAATTAAAAAAAAAAGGCTTGCTGATTTATAAAAGACCATCAGTAGTTGGGCTAGCAAAGCAAATTAGTATAACAAATTCTACATAGACCAGTAAAAGCTGTTCTGATTTTTTGTTTAAAGCAACAAAAAAACCATAATCATAAAGGAAGCAACTGCTGCAACTATAGTACACAACTTTTGAACTAAATGTGTGTATGAACAAATTGGTTTTGTTAAGTATCTTACTGAACATTAACAAAGAAAAATCATACGAATGAAAACTGATACAGAGTGATGCATTTTATAAGAAAAAAACAAAGCTAGGACTCTTTTCTGAGGTTAGCCAGCTAATAAGTATTCAAATTAGGCATAAATTTTACATGCACAATGTTTAAAATATTCAGAGAAAAGGTCTGATTGCTTTTACTACTTATATGAAAATTATAATTTGGGTCCTCTCCGACTGTAGAAACAGATAGACATAACTTCTACATATTGCATTTAAATTGTACTTTTGATAATACAGCCGGAGTATACATGTATGTGTAGGTTTTTCCTTCACCATCAAAATTTATTTGAGATACGTATTATTTCTGGATGGAGTTTCCAACACTAAGAATAACAAATTAAAAAAAAAACTGTTTTCAAATGTAGCCGACAGGTGCAAGTATTCCATACTAACCTTTGGATAATGTCAGTAACAATTGGATGAATTAAAGAATGCTGCATGTACTACTGTTTATAACTAAGGCAATCAAATAATCAAAAATAATCATAAAGCAGAGAGTCATGGGTCTGAACCTTTATTATAATTACAAAGACCTGTATAACTTCCAATTCCTATGAACGAGAGGGTTTTATCTCCCCTGTGGAACTTTTGACTTTATAAAACTCTAGAGTAAAAATTGTGATTTACCTTTTAAGTTCAATCACCTAATAGTAAAATCACAGGTAAGAAAAACAATAACAATGATAGCACTTTTTTTTTTCTTTCAAAACAAAAGCATCTGACCCAACATCAATATGCCAAAGGTAGGGCAATTGTGTGATAAGATGATTACAATGCACGTTTCCCCCAAAGAAGAAGGCTTGGAGTGTGGCCACTATGAAGACGTATCCTCCAGGGTAATGAAGATGCTTCCCAGTATTTACTAAGTTCCTCCCAGTGACATCTCCATACTGAGCTTCCACCAGCACAGCATCAGGTGCTGTTTATCTTTTAAAGTATATTTTAAATAATTACAAATTCAGCATATTCTTTCAAAGTGGATGTGCTTGCGATCCCAAACATATCAAACTAAATTATTCATCCTTCTCAATCCTACCACAAACATTTTACAAAAATCAGTGAAAATAAATCCCAGATCATTACAGAGGAAGGTAAAATTGGGAGTCGCCGTTCTAATGTTTGTGTGAACTGCCAGCTAACCCTCTCAATCTTTCATCACACACAACTTTTCAGCTGCATCAGAAAGTAGCTCTTCACATCTTGCGCTCAAATGATGCAGCCCAATTCCCTCCCTGCGTGGAGTTTTCCTTCCTGTCCTTTTCTTCTTATTTTAAGCGCGTCACTGTACAGATCCTTATTCTCTACACCACTTCCCTTCTGAAACATTAAACTGACACTGGAACTGACTGCACGAGATTGCATTTTCTCTTCCTAAACAACTTGAATTGAAAGGTTACTTAGTGTAACAATATTTACTTGCAGAATTGTGTTGTTACCAAGGGTATAATGGATGGTGGCTATGCACGTTTACGCAAGAATGAGTGAAGCATGAGGCATTAGCCATGTGTTTGACATGTTTCAAATTGCTATAATCCCGCATTAAACACACCCAGCAATTCATGCCATTTCTTGCAGCCATAATCTTGAATAAAGCGTGCACAACCACTTATTATATAAATTAGTATATGACTCCCTGTTATAGTCACAACAGTGCTTTTGTGTTTATTTTGCATCAAGATGTAGTCTTTTATTTGTACAAATAGCAGGATATAAAGACATAGCTCAATTAGACCTCCTTACTTTATGATAGGGTGGTACTGAAAGCTAGACTTGTTGGTTTTATTTTTCCTCTTAGAGTTTTAAGTTCCATTGAAAACTGTACCATGTGAGATAGACATTTGCCAGAGTGATAACAGAAACCTGCATAGATCCTGTTCCACATTCACTACAAGGCTCAAAAGTCTGAAACTTGACCTGGGCAAGTAGAGTTAACTCTTACCTCAGCGACCACCAGAGACACTACTGGTCCTTGACACTTACTCAACTCCTTTTCTGTCTGGGTTTCTCACTCTTTCCTCTCTTCCTTCTTGTCTTCCACCCCCACCCCACGTGTATGCATGTATGCAGATAGATGGGTCACAGGTAGATAGATCTAACTAGACATGCCAAGGAGGTGAGAAGGAAGAAAAGCCTTCCACTTCCCACCACACTCCCCTATCACATGCACAGACATTCCATCTTATAATCTTGGTGTGTTAGTATTAAACGTCAATGTTTAGCATCTTATCTTTTAATTTAAAAAAAATGGATGGAAAAATGACTTCCTGAAAAACTAAGAATACATAACAGTACACATGAAAAGTTTATTACTATTTGTTTCTGTGAATGTCTTTTAAACACAATTATTTATACTGGCATTAAAGATATTTTGTGTCCAGTGTCTGGTTTCTTCTAGTGTCTAATTTATTTCACCAAATATACACATTAATTCCAAGAGACTTTAAGTCCTAGAGACTTTGAATATGACATTTAAAGAAAAGCACACCATCAGATTAGAAAGTTATCATATATTCTCAAATAATTTTAATCATTTTAAAATTAGCAATAGTTAATATTATTGAATAGTTCTATGGTGGTTCACATAAGAAAGGGCTACGTGTGAGCAAAAGCTGCTTATGCAACAAGAAATCACATTTACCTCGACATATCAGCTAAATTCTGATTTTGAAAACTTAACTGTGAAGGAAAACTTCTGAAAGAAACTAGCATTTAAGTAATGATAACTTTTGTGCTCTGGTGGGATTAATTCATCACGGACACCATGCACAGTGACCTGAGATCTAGGGCTGCTTTGCTAAAAGGCGTTAATGCTGAGATTGCCTAATAAATCAAAGTGCCAAATATGAAGGACATAGCTGAATGTGTAAGAACAAAAACTGAACAAGCACATGAATATTTTTAATTTTTAAAAACTGAAACAGGATGTCCTTTTAAACATGATTTGGGAAAGGATATCTGCTGTATAGCAAATGATACAATCTTTTTTGTCACAAGTGATATTTTATTAAGTAAATGAAAATTAAGTTGTTTATAAAATATTTGCCACTGCTTTCAGCTATTTAAACAACATGTCTAAAATGCTATTCACAAATTAAGGTTAACTTCTTGGGAAAAAAACAACTTTAGTAAAAATTCTAATTTTAATTCACAAAGGTTAGTATGTTGAA